CATTTTCAGATCTCTTTCAGGAGGTGATTGGTGGATTCTTTCTACTTCTATTTTATCCTCTGGATCTAAAATATCAGGGCAGTTTTCCTTTATAATTTTAAAAAATATATTATCTAGGCTTTTTAAAAATTGTGGTTTCAGGTAGTTTAGTAATTCTTAAATTATCTCTTCATGATCTGTTTTCCAGGTCAGTTGTTTTTCTGATGAGATATTTCACATTTTCTTCTATTTTTTCATTCTTTTCACTTTGTTTTATTGTTTCTTGATGTCTCATGTAGTCATTAGCTTCTACCTGCCCAATTCTAATTTTTAAGGAATTATTTTCTTCAATGAGCTTTTGTACCTCTTTTTCCATTTGGCCAATTCTGCTTCTTAAGGAGTTCTTTTCTTCAAGGAATATTTGTACCTCTTTTTCCATTTGGCCTATTCTGATTTTTAAAGAATTCTTTTCTTCTGTGAATTTTTATGCCTCTTTTACCATTAGACTAATTGTATTTTTAATAGATATAATAGAATAATTTATTTATAATTTTCTTCAGTATTTTTGTGCCTCTTTTACCAAGCTATTAATTCTCTTTTCCTAATTTTTTTGTATCATTCTCATTTCTTTTTTCAATTTTTCCTCTACCACTTACCTCTTTCTCTAACTCTATCAGGACTTCTTATTGGGCTTGGATCCAGTTACTATTTTTCTTTGAGGCTTTGATTGTTACTGCTTTCACATTGTTTTCTTCTGAGTTTTATGTATTGCTTTATTGCCACTATAGTAGCTTTTTTATAGTCAAGTTCTTTTTTAGAGTTGCCAGTGAGCTTCAGCTGCATCCAGTGCAGCAGAGGGCCCCGTGTAATCTCTTTCTGGCCAGTTGTCTGACTCTCACTGCCTCTTGGCTGAGAGCTCTTGTTTGGTGCTGCTGTACTTTGTGCAGGTCCCCACCCTGGTGTCATAGATCTCTCCTGCCAACCTCCTGAGTTGTCTTAGGCTGGAAAAATCTCTCATTCTGACCTTTTGTTTGATTGTGCCACTCCAAAATTTGATTCAAGCAGTTGTTTTAAAGTTGTTTGGAGGGGAGTGTGGAGAGATTTCAGATTGGTTGCTGCCTGTTCTATGCTGTCTTCTCCATCTTTAAATATCAGGAAACTGCCTACCCACTCTCTTCTTAGCCCCTTAAACTTTGACCTAAAAGGAAAGGGAAGGGTACAAAATAAGCATTCATATAGTACCTACTGTGTGCCATATCCTAAGCCCATTTTTTTACAAATATCTCACTTGATCCTTATAACAGCCCTGTGAGGTAAATGCAATTATTATCCCTGTTTTCCAGATGAGGAAATTGTGGCAAGCAGAGGTTAAGTGCTCAGGGTCACACAGCCAGTCATGAGGCCAGATTTGAACTCAGGACTAACTGATTCCAGAACCAGTGCTCTATCCACTGTGCTACTTGCTATCTCTCAGTTGAGGTGAATAAGATTGGAATATTTCCCAAGGTTAGTTAATATGTTGAGGACATAGGGAGGGTCTGAGATATGATGTGGTCAGGCAAGCACTTTGGGGTCATTTGGACCTAGATGGACATTTCTCTGTGTTTTTATTGGGAAAAGAGAAGGAGGCTTCAGCTGGTTGTGGGTATGAAGGCAAAGGAAAGAAAGAAATAATTAACAATTAGAAGATTCTATTGAAAGTACTGTGGCACCCTGGGCAAGGCATTTAACTTCTCTACCTTAGTTTCCTCACAGGGCTTTTGTGAGGATCAGATGAGATCATACTTGAAAAGTGCTTAGTAAGTACTTATTCCCTTTTCTCTCCCCTGATTCCTTGGTGCTCTGGAGGAGTGCCAAGGAATGGCTTTGTTAGGTTCTCTCTGGGTAAGGTGCTTTGGGCTTTCTCCTATGGAATTTTATATGTGAATGCTAACTCAAACTCTGGTGGGGAGAGAGGAATAAACTAAAACACAAGGATCCCAAGGGGGGTGGATAAAAGCCTTAATTATCAATAGAGCCTTATACAACTATGTGCTTTTCTAGAAAGCCTATCTATTAATTTACATTCCTCAAAGGGAAGATGACACTTGAAGTCAAAAGATTCTAAGACACAAACATATCCTTATACATATCATAACAACGGATCTTAGAACCTGAAAAGCAGATATTATGAAGTAAATCACAGTAGTTACAGTTTAACAGGCCCACAGCATCTCCACTTGATGTACCATTGACATTTTAGCCTCAGCATATCCAAAATATAATTGTTTTTCATAAATACTTCCTTTCTCCAAACTTCCTTTGATGAAGGCTAAATCTGTCTGCCAGATCCATAACCTCAGAGTCATCCTAGACTCTTTCTTGTCTCTCATTTCCTATATTTAGGACCTAAATCCTTTTATTAAGGGGATTTGTTCTATGAAGTTTGGATTTAGTCCAAGGGCTGCACTTGAGGACCTAGAGGGCCACATATGGCCTCAAAGCCACAAGTTCCCCACTCCTGATTTAGGCAATTGACAAATACGATTGATTCTTTCTCTAGAATATCTCTTTACCCACATAATCAAGCTCTAGTTTAGATCCTCATCACCTCTCACCTGTACTATTGTAGTAGTCTCCTAATTCCTCTCTTCCTTTTTCTAATATTCCTTCTTCCAGTTTTCCCACCCCCCCCACTCCCTCACCTCCACCCATCTCAGCTGCCAAAATTAACTAAGGCACAGATCTGACCATGCCCTTCTTCTGCCTAAAATCCTTCAGTGGCTCCTTATGGTTTCTAAGGTAAAATACAAACTCTTTTGCTCAGCATCATTCTCAGGAATCCCAAGATGTAGCCCTGTTCTACCTTTTAGCCTTGCTTCTCATTATTCCCCTCAGCCACCTCTCGCACCTCCTGTTTACACAAACATTCTTCCCACGACCTCTCCCCCTTGGCTGCTATGTACTTGTTTTTCAATTAGGATTCTTGGAATCCTTATCTTCCTTGTAGGGCTGAGGACCTAGGCTCTGCTCCAGGGCTTTGTCCTCCTAGGAGCCTTCTGTAAACGTCTCCATTATGGTCTTTGCTTTCCTATTTTCTCAAATTACTTTGTACTTATTTACTTGTTTACATGGTCTATCCATCTAGGAACATAGGTTCTTATCCTGTAGTACATAGATTTCAGGAGTGGTGGGGGAATTACATCTTCATTTCCACTAACCTCTAATTGAAATTTAGCATCTTCTTCAATGATGTAAAAATGTTGTTCTGTTTCACCAGACTGCCCCAAATGTCTTCCATGACATTAAAAGAAAAACAAGTTAACCACAAGTATAGAAGAAAATAAAATTACTTGAAGGCCTGGATTGTTTAATTTTTCCTCAGGATCTAGTCCAGTGCCTTACATGTTTTAGTAGCTCAGCAAATGTCTATTGCATTAAATAAATTCTTCCCCAAAACCAGATCATGGTCATCTCCAAAGGTAGCTTATAAACCTACATCTGAGATTAAATGTGATCTGCTATAGGTTATACCTGAAATGTTAAATTAAAAGACCTCCAAGACCATGTTTCCTAAACTCATTTGACCTTGAAACATCTTAGGATTTTAATTATATTAATGATACTTATAAGTACTAGTCTAGTTAAAGAATAGCCCCCAGGACAAACAGGAAGGATGGGTGAATTTTGAAATGAAATAGAGAAAAGTGGACCTAATTTGGCTGTTTCAATAATGAGAAGCAACTGTATGTAAGTGTAAGGAAATGTTGTTAGTACAGAATTTTTCTCACAGAATTCCATTTTATAATGCTTAGAACACTAGGGTTTCACAAAGCATGATTCCCTGGGGAGAATTGCTATATAGATATAAAATAAATTACTTCTTTTCTAGGCTTCCTGTTGAATGAAGACAGTAGGTTAGACATCATGCTATTTTACCCAGCATTCCATTTCATTACTCTGGATATTAACATCTGAAATATTTCTTTCTACAAATCAAATAAATGATGAGGGGAAAACAGATTGTGAAAATCAAATAAACTTTTAACGCTGAGGAATTGAGGATTGTACTGTATAAATTATTTAGAATGAATAAACTAAATACTGGAGGCTGAAAGTAATCTCCCTTTGAGGCATTTATTCTCAGAAACAAAGAGATTGGATTTGAGTCTGTATATTCCATTATTCTTTTTTCTGGCTTTATTTCTATAGATGGAAATTTCCTTTGTCCTTTAGTGAGTTTATTTGTTTACAGAACTCATCTTTATAAGTCACCAAGAGCAACTCTTTCTTTGTGGCAACACCATATTTGAGGGGACTCACCTTGGGCTTTTGTGTTAAAGATCTAATATTCTCTGCAAAACAAGTTATTTAGATGCTGAGTGACTCAAAGAATCAGGATATCCACAAACAGATCTCCCAAGGATTTAGTCCTAGGTCTCATGTCTGTGAATCAATGCTGGCTAATTTGAACCAGCTATTTTGATGTACATATTCCAGTGATGATTAAGTTTGGCCTGAGTTGGCATTTTGAAAACAACTTGTATTTCATGAACATTTTCTCTTTATGAAAAGTGAAGCCTCTGTAAGGAATCACTTCATGTGGTTTCTGGCTTCCTTCACTCTCACCAACAGAAACTTACTGAGTTCCACAGCTTGCATCCAAGGAATTTCTGTACACAGTAGTTTTGATCTGGACCAGCTGCTCTCAGCCCTACTTTTTAGCATTTCCAAAAAGCTTTGACTGTTCAGCTTTCAGGATTTAAGGATCTTGTGTCAGTTTGATTCAAGAATGGCCACTGTATCCTAGCACCTGTGACAGTAGACCATGTTGATGGTGGTCACCCCCTTTTGGGGGGTGGATGGGAGAGCTGTGCTCTTTCTGAATATACAAATTTAGATCTAATCAGTCACTTATTGTTAGTCACATTCCAGGGAGAAAGTGAATTCTCATGACCCTTCCTTTTAGGATTTCTTTCTTTCTTCTAATTCTGTCTTCTTTTGCTAACAGAATTTAATTTTTTTTCACATATTTTCTTTAGACATGAATTTGACTCTGAACATATTCCCGACCTGACAAAAGAGCCTTATGTTCAAGATATACATTCAGTTGGTTCCCTTTGTAAGCTGTATTTTCGAGAACTCCCAAACCCTCTACTCACTTACCAACTGTATGAGAAATTCTCAGTAAGTATTCACTGATTTGGAAGCAAGTTTTGTTTAACTGGGAACTTTATTGTGGGTTGTTTAAAAGACAGAAAGAAGACAAGCTAATTGGTTTGGCCAAATGCAAGTAATGGTTTCAGAGCCAAACTTGAGGCTTAGCTGAAAGTTTTCTTTATTTTTCCCCAAACAGTCATTGCCAATCACAGTCCTTGCTGTTTCAGCAGGTTTTTTTTTTCCTCTTTAGTCTCTGTCTTTGGATCTCTAACTTAATCTCCCACAGAATTTTTTCATTTAGCTTTTATGATTGTATTTTTTTCAGTTTTGGTGATCATATAAGTCTTCTTTGTTAATATGTTCTGTGTTTCCAGTTCAATATGTGAGGATGAAGAAACCCAGTTTGAAAATTGAATTAGGTCTGAAGAGCTTCAATGAATAATTCCTTTCCAGCAAAACCCATTGGTTTATTTTCCTCTGTCTGTGTTACAGGATGCAGTTTCTGCAGCAACAGATGAAGAACGACTCATAAAAATTCATGATGTCATCCAACAGCTCCCCCCTCCACATTACAGGTCTTGCCTTATGTTTAAAATAATAGGCAATAGAGCTATTGATATCTAAAATTAGGTTATCTCCTTGGAGAGTTCACTTTTAAAAATTTCTCTAAAAGTAATTTTTTGCTAGAATTTGATTTTAAATAAGTTTTTTTTAATTTTTATTAATTTATTTTTATTTTCAACATCCACTTCCATAAAGCTTTTGAGTTTTAACTTTTCTCCCCCCCACCCCCAAGATGGCATGCAGTCTGATATAGGCACTACATATACATTCCTGTTAAACATATTTTCACTTTAGTCATGTTGTGAAGAAGAATTAGAACCAATAGGAGGAACCACAAGAAAGAAGAAACCAAACAAAACAGAAGAAAAAAAAGAGCAAATAGTATGCTTCAATCTGAATTCAAACTCCATAGTTTTAAATAAGTTTTTTTATGGTTATTATGACAGTTCTTTTGAAAAGTCTCCCTTTTAATTTTATGTCATTTAACTTTACCGTCAGCCTGTCTATTTAGTCTTGAGTTCACTAAACCTGTAGTAGGGATAATTAACATTTTATTAATAGTCATAAATCTTAGTCATTTTATGTAAAATATTTATGCTAATTATTAAATTTACTTCCTTTGATTTACTATCCATTCACTCCAGCAGCTGTTTTAGATTTTCTCTACTGTCCTCAAACCTCCCATGCCACTCCTTCCTATATTCTCAGTTGAGAATGTCACCTCATATTTCTGCAAAAAACTAAGGTCATTCACCAAGAGCTCCTTCTTCTGTTTTCCTTGTTTCACATCCTTCTGACATCATCCTCTACTCTCTCCTTCCTTATTCCTTTCTCATGAAGAGATAGTCCCTCTCTTTACCAAGACTAGCCCTTCTGCACATACTGTTGATCCTATCCCCTGCCATTTTCTCCAGCAGATTATCTCTATCCTCCCCTCATTCTAATCTTTAGTCTCTCCTACCTACTGATTCCTTCCCTGCTACCTACAAACATGTCCAAGTATCCTCATCCTAAAAGAAACCCCCCAAAACCCCCACTTGAGCTGACCAACCTCACTAGGTATCATCCTCTCCCTCTCCTCTCCTTCTGCTAAACCCTTTGAAAAAGCCATCTTGACTGGGTACTTGCACTTCTTCTTTCACTTGGTTCTTATTTTTTTTTGCAGTTTGGCTTCTGACCTTATCATTCAGTTGAAATTGCTTGCTTGCAAGTTACCAGTGATTTATTAATTGCCAAATGTAATGGCCTTTTCCCACTCCACATCCTTTTTGATGTCTTTGCAACACTTGACACTGTTGATCGCTTGAGAGAATTAGGTATGCTCTGTTCTTGGGGTTTTTGTGACCTTGATCTTTCTTGTCCCTCCCTCCCCATATCTGACCATTCTTTCTTCATCCATGCCATGTCCACTGACTGTCAGTGGGTCCCTCCTTTTTTTTCTCTGTACTGGCTTAGTGACCTTATTAGTTTTTAAGGATTTAATTTTAATCTCTATATAACTTATTCCCAGATTGCTATATCCATCCTTCTTTCTCCACAGTTCCAGGCCCATGTCACCAACTACCTATTGTACATTCAAACTGGATGCACCAAAGGCATTATGACTCATATCCAAAATAAAATTATTTTTTCCCCAAACTCACCCTTCTTCCTAACACAGCACCACCATCCTTCCAGTCAACCTCAGTACCATCCTCAATTCTTCATTCTCCCTCACTCTACATATCAAATCAGTTGCCAGATCTTATAGTTTCTTTTGCCATGCCATATCTCACATGGGTCCATTCTGTCCATTCACACAGCTGCCATCAATGTTTCACCAAATGGACTCCCTCTCTTGGGTCTTTCTTCACCCTATCCTCCACATAGCTGCCAAAGTGTTTTTTCTAATGTGTATAACTGATCGTTTCACTCCTTATTCACTCCAATGACTCTATTACCTCTAAGATCTATTCTTAGCACAATGCCTGGCATTATGGTAGGCTATATAAATGTTTATTTCCTTCCTTCTGGGGTTAAGCATAAACTCCTCTGCTTGACACTTAGGATCTTCACAATCCGTCTTCCTGTCTTTTAGTCTTCTTATACAATTCTCCCTGCCGTGAGCTCAATACTCCACCAGTAGTGGTGGGCAGCTTGCTGTCCCTCACATACAGTGGTCCATCTCCTACCTACATGCCTTTTTAATAGTTAAGACCCATATCCTAAATGCTGTCCTTCTAACTACTGCCTCTTAGACTTTCTAGTTTCCTTCGCAAACCCATATCCCACCTTTTACAGGTTTTTCCCAGTCTTCCCAGATACTGATGCCTTCTGTAGCAAATTCTGAAGCGACTTCATAGGAACAGAGATTTAGAACTTGGAGGGACTTTGTGAACCGTCAAATCTTGCTCTTGAGATCTGATAGCCTCAGGGAAATGAGGGAAATTGAGGCATGGAGTGTTTAAGTGACTTTTTCATGTCCTTTAAGATGTGGCAATGTTTAGTCTGATTCCTCCCTAGGCCTCCTGATTCTTCCTACCCCGAAGTTTCCTACATTCTCTGCCACAAGAAACACCACATAGGGGAGAAGTAGTTGAGAGATTTTGCTATTCTTTTAGACAGGTTTAGAAAAAATCAGTGTAACTTTGCTAGGCTTGTCATATAGCTTATTTAGCAACACATCACACCATCCCCAAGATAAGTGATAAAACAGAATTATAGGCAGGGAAGTCCAAATAACCAGTAGTTTCACTAGACATCTTGAAATGTGTAAAGCCTGACATGACCCTACCTCTGACACACAGCTTCAAGCTCTCCAGCTTTCAACTGATGCTGCTTATGCAGCTTCCTCCCCAGAAAGGGAGTCAGTGGACATTTGGAACAGACAGTTCCTGGATAATATGTGGTCCTGGCTTCCTGAAGCCTCACATAGAAACCTGACCCCTTTTATTACATATCAAACACAAATGTGTTAGGCTTCATTTGTTGGTAGTGAAGAGAGATCCTTACAACATACAGTAGTAGTGAGATAGCATCTTGTCCATCGATAATTCCTTAAATCTGTATACATCTATCACATACCTATTTGTGCACATGTTATCTCCTTCATTAGAATTAGAATGAAAGCCCCTTGAAAGCAGGGTGACTTTTTGCTCAGTGTCTGGAACATAATAAACAATTAATAAATGCTTATTGATTAATATAGATAGCTAAGAATTTGAAGTTAACAGATTTATATATAGTATTAAGATCTTGTGTTTGTATAGCACTGTGTAGTTTTTCAAAGTCTTTTGTTTCATACACATTTCCCGATTGGATCCTCAAGGACACTTTTAGGAGGTAGACAAGCACAGATATTGGTATACTGAAGTCAAGAATCAGAGAGATTAGATATATAGCAGAAATGGTGTCACCCTGCATTGATAGAGGGAGTTTCCTCCTTGGAAATTCTTTATACCATTGAAATTACAGGTTCATTCCCTATTTCTCTCACTCCTTCATGAAGTTTCAAACTGGTCTGCTCTTGCTGCTGTTAAGGTGCAGAACATTTTCAGTTCTCTACTGCAACCACTCTGTTAATTATCCTAAGAAAATAATTTGATCCCATCCTGGCCCAGTTCATCCCTCCTAGGTAACCTGCTGACCTCCTCATTCCCAGGGGCCCACTATACTGATGCCAAACTTAGTTCAGACGCCCAGTTGATATAGACCACTACAGCTCAGAATTCCTGAGCTCTTGAGATCTGATAGCCTCAGTCTTGTTGTAGCTCAGATTGCAGGCATGTGCCACCACACCCAGCTTATTAATGCAGTCTTGCAAAATAGATTTCCAAAGTGATTTTGTCACAGAAGAAAATCTCTTTGGTCTGCAAAATTAAGTCTGCCAACCCTGAGGAGGCAGGATGGCTCAGGATTTGAAGTCAGGAAGACTTGAGCTCTGATGCCAGATCTGCTGCTTCTTATCTCCTGCTTTGACCTTGGACAAGTCACTTCGTGTGAACTCTGGGCCTCAGTTACCTCAAATATAAAATGAGAGGGTTAGACTCAGCAATCTTTGAGATCTCTTCCAGCTCTTAAGTCTCTGATCCTACAATCCATCTAACCCTCTAACTCAACCCCCACTCAGCAAAGATTAAGCTTGATTAAAGAGCTTGGCTTTTAAAGAGCTCTGAGCCATAGCTTTCTTATCTGAAAAATATGCATAATAATACCAACTTCTGAGGGTTTTGTGAGAATCAAATAATACAATATTTGAAAAACATATCATGTTATAAAGTATTATTATCATTATTGATCAAGAGAGACAGAATCACATTTTTGTTAGGTCAGTTTCCAGATTTCTGTAAAATCTACGCTGATTCCTTTGAAGATTTAGAAATGTGGAACATTACTTCCTTTCATCTCTGAATTTCTGAATATTAATCATAAATTGTTCCTGTGCCCCTTTCTCACTATCTTTAACATGAGAAAAAGCCTATATAATTTAAACATCTCCAAGAACCAGTAGCTAAATTACTGTTCCTTGCTGAAATAAAAATATTTCATTGACATCATCTACTTAAGCTGGAGAAGATGAAGCTTCACCGGATACCCCAATAACTTAGGCCCTGACACTTTATCTTAATGCATATGAGGTTATTTTTAAAAGGAGAAAATGATTGGACAAAACAAAAGATAGTTTCTTGGGTTTTGAGGAAGTAACTCCATGCCCAAAGTTCCTGAATATACTAAAAGCTTCCCCTCTTGTGGGTACTGGAATTCAGTCTTCTCCTGACTGTTGCTTGGAGTGGTTAGAAATCCAGTTAGCTCTTGATGGAGCAGAGAATTTTAATTAATCTATAGTTGACATGTCTGTGGTATACAGAAACTAAATTTGATTGATAGAGCTATTTTATTGGTATAATCCAATATGGAAATCAAATGACCAGAAATGCTGTCTTTTCAGATAGATGTTTATCTAAGTGGTGGTGTTGCAGTAGCATAGTAGAAAACAGGCCTGGATTTGGATTCAGAAGAGTTTAAATCCCAACTTTGCTCCTAATTCTCTGTGTGAACATGAACCAGTCACTCTGGCTATGCCTCCCTTTCCTCTTCTATAAAATGACAAGATTAGACCATATGATTCCTTCCACTTCTATGAGCTAGGATTTTGTAGGGAGTTTTTGGTTTGTTTGGTTTTTGCTTTTGTTTTTTAATTTAAGTGGTTCCCAGTTTACCAAAATAGTTCACATAGAACTCTGTTGTTTGAAACACCAAACATCTTTCCTCCTAGGAACAATGTGACAAGGATAGTTAGATTCCTATGCCTAGGCCATAAAAGCCCATTTCATCTTTCATGAGAATAAAGTAAGTAGAACAGTAGTGCACATCTCTGTGTTTGCTTTAAGGTTTGCAAAGTGCTTGACACACGTTATTTCATTTAATCCTCATAACAGCCCAGTAAGTTAGGCACTGTTATTATCCCCATTTTACAGTTGAGGAAACAGGCTCAGTGAGGTTTAGTTATTTATACATGGTCACTCAGCTAGTATCTGTTGGAATTTGAACCCAGATCTTCCTAACCCCAAATCTAGCATACTATCCATTATCCTATATGTAGTATTTACTATTATTAGTGCTGTACTAATCATAATACTATAGAACCTGACTGCCATATATGAGAAAATGTATTCCTTTCTCCATCTGAGGAAGCCAGAAATACATCCTTTCCTCCTTGCTCCCCACCCTAATTTCCTCTGCAATTAGAGTAAGGACTTCTCAGCCTTTAGAAAACTGAAGTAACTTCTTAACCCTGGGCTATGGTCTCCAAAAGGAGTAGTGAGGGGCGAGGACTCTGAGGTGAAGCCCTGCACAGAAAGCCACCTGTGAGAGTGGAGTAAGGAGAAAGGATAGACTGGGAACCCTGACCAAGGTCACAGGATAGGAGCTGAAGTATGGGAATGGGGAAAAAGAATAAGCATTCATTTAGTGCCAGGCACTGAGCTAAAATACTAGTGGAGAGGAAAAAGAAACTGGCCTTAGAGGTTTACCTTCAGAAAAAACTTATCCCTTCCTTTCCCCTTTGTCACTGCCAGATCTGCCACTTTGGACCACTAGGGACAAAGTCAGAGCAGAAAATAGGCAGGAGAGTGCATAGTCCTGGGTAGCTAGGTGGCACAGTGGAATTGGGAAGACTCCTCTTCCAGAGTTCAGATCTGGCCTTTAGACACTTTTACTAGATGTGTGACCATGGGCAAGTCACTTCACTGTTTGCCTCAGCTCCTCATCTGTAAAATGAGCTGGAGAAGGAAATGACAAACCATGTTTTTGCCAAGAAAACCCCCAATGGGGCCATGAAGAGTTGGACAAGACAGAAAAAAGACTGAAAAAAAACAGCAGCGTAGTCCCAGGTGGTTGCTAATCAGAGAGGAAGGGGAGGGAAATCTCACCTAGCAACAACAGGGAGAGAAGGGTAGTTTCCGTGCCACAGGAACACTTGACTGATACTGTTTTTCCCAGGTAGTTATTTTTGTGACTGGTTGTAGTTAAACTGGGTGTGTATATAGTCAGAGACCACCTGGATAGCTGATTTTCTAAAAGTTGGTCCCATTTGGATATTTCCTCAATTCTTTTTTAATTCGCTTTTTGTAGTTTTTAGTAGTTGCAGTAACTACATTCAGTATCTATGATTCCCTTCTTCCAGTTATATGATAATAACACGTAGAATTGGTAGCAAAATTTTATGTTGTTTTTGGTTTCCTTTTTACTACTATTGAAGAAATTCACTTTAATTAATGGGGCTCCTCTGCTGAAAAGATTGTAGGGTGGAGTGCTAATTGATGAATATTTTCTGTCTGCTAACAGATTTTGGTGTGTTCATTTTATTTTCCAGAACACTGGAGTTCTTAATGAGACACTTGTCCCTTCTAGCTGACTATTGTTCCATCACAAATATGCACGCCAAGAACCTAGCAATTGTTTGGGCTCCAAATCTTCTAAGGTAACTTGCACTTTACTTCCTGACTTCAATAAACTTGTCATAAATGCAAGATTCATGTTAACACTGCTCTTTAAGGAAGATTTTAAAATGCAAAATTATCACATGAATTTCATCAAATAGTTTCTTATTGAAGCACTTAGAGAATTATAACTCATTTAATATTGGGTTATATTTTAGGGCTTAGCACAGAACCTGGCACATAGGAGGTGCTTAATAAGTGTTTATTGATTGATTTCGAGGATTCAGAATAGTTTATAGCATTGTGACCACAGGTGAGTTGCTTAACCTCTCTGTGTCTCAATTGCTTTATCTGTATAATGAGGAATTTGGATTTAAAGTTTCCTTCAACTTTAGAATTCAATGATTAAGTGATTCACACCCATGTGTCTGCTTACCCTTGCGAATTTCTAATGGTAATTTGTTTTGTTTCATAGGTCAAAACAGATAGAATCTGCCTGCTTTAGTGGGACAGCTGCCTTCATGGAAGTGAGAATTCAGTCAGTGGTGGTCGAATTTATTCTTAATCATGTGGATGTTCTCTTCAGCTGCAAAATTAGCGCAGTCATTCAGGATGGGGCAGGTATAACTAATCTCGTATTGACTGAGAGTTCTCTCTGTGAAAGTGACTTCTAAAAGCTTGAAAGTGGGAAAATCAGTTTTCCTTGTTGTATGAATATAAAGAGATGATGTTAGACCATCTTTTCATTTCCTTCAAGAGAGGAAGCATCATAGCAAGGCCATTTACTATGAATAAAGAAAATACCACATGCAGGGGTAACTTGGCAGTGTTTAAGTCCATAGTAGTCTTTTTAGTAATGTAGCTTTTTACCAAATTATATTGAAAAATAGTTTTTGCAGTGATGTTTACAAAGCTATCAAAAGTTGAATTTCGTATCTTCCCTGAAAAATCTTTCATCTTTACCCTTCTTTCCACTCCCATTGTCCCAGTTATAATTGGGGCCCTCATTGGTACTGGACATTACTACCAACTGTGGAAATGCCCTTGCTTCATCTTTTCACCTTTTCAGCCTTATTTCACATTATTTGCACACAGTCCAGTTGGATTACTTGCTGTGTCCATATCTTGTTCTCCTGTCTCCCATATCAGTAATTTTGAACACAGCATCCTCCAGCCTTGTAGCAGACTTCAAACCCATCCTCATTTCTGCTTACTAGATCCTTGTTCTCTTTTAAGAATCAGATTGGGTGGAACCTCCTCTATGATGCCACCTCAGTGTTGTCTTACTTTAGTGCTTAGTGTATTGCATATAGTAAGCACTTAATACTTTTACTTTCATTCATTCACGCCTTCCCTGATTTCCCCTTCCCCTTTCAAGGAGAAATGATTATCTTCTCCTTGAATATCATGCATTCTGGCCTGTCCTATACACTTAATCATTTTCTAACAAGTATTTTAGTTGTGTACACGATTCATCCCACTCCTCAACTAGAGTGTACTCTTCTTGAGACCAAGGTCTTGGTTGTTGTCTACCTGGGAACATCTAGTACTAAGCACAATGTGGTCTATTGTAGGTGCTTAACAAATGTTTCTTGAATTGAGCTGGTATTCTAGATATTTTTTAGGGCAGGATACAGAAAACTGCCCATTTTTGTTTTATATGCACCTACTTTTTTCCTGTGCCAGGAAGTCTAACTTTCCCTTTATATTTGAAGCTTCTCTTTCGAGGCCCAAGTCCCTGCTGGTGTCCTCTCCATCCACCAAACTACTGACGTTGGAGGAAGCCCAGGCACGAACACAAGCTCAGGTCAATTCTCCAACTATGCCCGACAACAAATATATCGAAGTGGGAGAAGGGCCTGCTGCACTTCAAGGAAAATTCCACACTATAATTGAGTTCCCTCTTGAAAGGTGAAGTAACTGATTTTGATTTAGGTTCAGGTTTTAATCCTGTATTTCAATGTTGTAACCAAGGGAAGGCTCCAGAATAGTTTGTTTGGTTGGGTATGAGTCATACTAGCCAACTCATAATGAATCCTCAGTGTGGAATGGTGCCCAAGAAAACTAGTGAGCTCTCAGCCTGGGTTAAGAGAAGCCGGACATCTAGAACAAGACTGTGATAGTCTCTCTGTAATCTGCCCTCAACATAGCACACCTAGAGTGTGAGTTAGGTTCTGAGCACCATTTTTTAGGAAAGATAAGTGGGAACTCATGCCATTATGAAGATTGACTGAAGGAAATAAAGCTGTTTAGCCTGAAAAAGGGGGGAAGGATAGAAAGGCATGATAACTATCTTCAAGTATTTGCAAGAACTATTCATGGAGGAGGGATCTTATTTGTTCCACTTCATCCCAAAGCAGAACTAGCAATGCATAGAAACTGCAAAGGGCTACCTTAGTAGGTAATAGTTTTCCCTCATGGGAGTTCTTGAATCAAAGGTGAGTGACCCCTTGTTAGGTATGTTCTAGAGGAGATTCTTAGTCATCTATGGGTTGACTTTGATGGCCCTGAGGAACCTTCCAGCTCTGAAATTCTGTGGTTGAGTACATAAAATGTATCCTTTTAATAAGCAGCTTCATGTAATTGAAAAAAATTATTAAAAAAGCAGTTTCCACAGGGATAACTCTCAAGAGTGTTCACATTTCCGCTGTATTTAAGTTGATTTTCTATCTGATATTACTGAACAGTTTTAGTTTTCTTTGTATTTATTGTTGAGTGGAACAACTTACCTTTAGGAAGGAAATGCCTGGACACAAGCAGTGACTTGCCCTAGAACAGATCCTAAGGAAGGATAGACTATATTATCTATAAGGACCCTTTGTGCCCAAAATTCTGTGATTCCATGAGGTAACTGTAGCAGCTGCACTTTCTCTTTCTTCTCAGAGTTGAAAAGGACTTCAGAGGTCAGTTAGGCCCTTTGCTTGATTTTACTTGTAACTTAAGGCATAATAGATTTGAAAGCTCTTTGAAAGTCCTTCCTGACCTGTTTTAATTTAGATATAGATCTCTAGAGTATAGCTGTATACACATGAAGGGGATAGTCATTTTTAGATTGTGTATAGCCACCATGTTTTCTTAGGACCAATATTTTCCATATTTTACGCTTTCTTCCCCCATTTCAGTTGTATAAGTTTTATAACATTTTCTAAACACAAAATCAAACCATAGATTCTTTTCTTTACCAAAATATGTCTCAGATTTTTGAATCCCAATTCTTCAGTAATTCCCTTAAATATCTAGGATGCTAGTTTTTTACCCTCGCTTGCATCTGACCTTGACTTCACCTGTTTGGCTTTTTTGCCTAATTCTCTGCATACCTCCTATTATCATTTTTCTTTGTCTCCTACCTTTGTTTTTCTTTACGTTCTACATCATGCATGGCAGTCAGGCCCATTTCTTGCTTTATTGATAGGGAAAATAGCATGTTACACTTTAAACACCCTTCCATTTTAAAAGACCTTCCAGTTTGGGATAACTTACCACTTTCTTTTTCTGCTGTATGTTGGTCTGTGTTTTATTAAATATACGTATATACATACATATATATATATGTGTGTGTGTGTGTGTGTACACATGTATGTTTGTGTCTACATATAATTATGTGTATGTATTAATACCTTTGATTTGTAACCTTGTTTGATAGCAACATTGTTTTATCACCTGTTCTTCATCTTGTCCTATATATTTATCTCTATTTACCTATAGAGTGAAATTCTCCTTCAAATAAAAGTCCTGCTGCCCTCTTTAAAAGTCATAGTATGAGGAACCTAAATTTTTTCTCTTACCCAAATATTTCCTGTTCTGTTTCTTAGATAAGGTCTGATGTTGTCAGTATTGAAAAGGAAGCAGATCTGTATGAGGCACTGTGGAATAGTGGAATGAGCACTATATTTTTAATCATAGAACCTGGGTTCAAATGCTGACTTTCACATTATCTTTGACTATGAATAAGTCCCTCTACTTTTCTCAACCTCAGTTTCCTCATCTGTAATGGATTAGACTTAAAATGCTCTTTAAGATCCCATTGAGCTCTACATCTGTGATCCCATAAAATTATAGTGTTGTCAGCATGGAGTTTTTCAGTACTCTTTGGATATCTGATTTACTTGGTAAATGTTAGCTTTATGGTATACTGAAGAATATATAAAACTTTCAGTTTGAGATTTTCCAAACTTCTTGGATTTTCCCATGTTTCTTATTTTCTTGTAATGACTTGGCCATTGGATGTCCTAGCATTGATTTTTTTTTCTCTTTGTCTTAGGAAAAGACCCCCAAACAAAATGAAGAAATCTCCTGTGGGCAGTTGGCGTTCCTTTTTCAATTTAGGGAAATCGTCATCTGTTTCAAAGCGGAAACTTCAGCGTAATGAGAGTGAGCCTTCAGAGATGAAGACCATAGCTCTGAAAGGTGAGTGCACTGCTTGAACTCACAACAGATTTTTTTTCTTTACTCAAGGTCAGTGTTCTTCAGAGCCAGGGTTGTGGCTTGGTCACAGGGAGACAGGGCATGACTTCAGTGCATGTTTTATCAACCAATTAGATGAGTTCCCTCACTTGTCTCCGTGTAGGCAAATCACTGACCACACTGCATTCTCCACACATTATCTGTCACTCAACCCTCTCCCCCACTGTCATTGGCCCCACAGGACAGTTATAATTTAGCCATGACCCTAGCACTTGCAGCAGATGCACAGTCAAAATTCCTCCCCTGCTGTGCTCCAAACACTTCATGGCTGCAGCCAGCACCCTTCAGCAAGCGTGCTCTGCAGAACTCCAGGGCAAGAACAAGTAAGAGTCCTGTGCCCCTCCCTGAGTGTCCAAGAGGGGTGGGTTACACTCTGCATTTGTAGATCTCATTGCATTATCTTTTCTTTAAAACTCATCCCTCTTTTCAACTTTCCAATTACTGTTAAGAATACCACCAGTTATCCAGGTTTGCAAGCTTAATCTCATCCTTAGCCTGCCTATACACATTCATTTACCAAATCTTGTTGTTTCTGTCTCTGAGATGTCTCTGGCATCTGTCCCCTTCTCTCTCTTTACACAGCTCCCAGTCTAGTTCAGGCCCTCATCACCTCCCTATGGCCTACTGCAACAGCCTCTTTGATCTATCCAACTCAAATCTATCCCATTTCCAGTTTATCCTCCACACAGCTAAAGAATTCCTAAAGTATGTCTGACCTTGTCACTCCCTCACTCAGAAAACTCCCACGGATCCCTTTTAACTCTAGGACCGACTATTATTTCATTTTTGTCATACTAAATTAGAAAATTTTTAAGTGTAAGTTTGATGATGTACAATTATTAGTACTCCTACATGTACATAACTTATAAATAAGTGAATGTGTCACACATCAGAAATATGTGCTCGGAACCTTTTTACAGATTAGGGGTGCATAGTTTAAAAAGATTGCCTGTTCTGTACACACTTTCAGTAGTATGTTATCTGAACATACCACACAATGTGAACAAGTTATTTGCATTACATGTAGTCGGCATCTGCTTAATGCAACTGACTACATGCAAATAAGGTACTCTAAAAATGAGTGGTGTAATAAATCAAATAAACACACATAGGAGATTGTTTACACAAATTGTATTAATATACAACATTTGTAATTGTATATCTGTAACTTGCAAATGCTTTGCATTAGTTTTAATACTTCATATTTTGTAGTGAATGCCATCTTTGTGAGTTTTATGTAGACTACCAAAGGACATAGCATATCTTTGGATTTTATAGAATGTGATTCCTAATGTGATCTCATTACATAGTTATGTAGCATTAATCTCCAAAAAACATACATCTTTGTGGCGAAGTGGCTCATTGGTGAGACTATGTAAATGGATCAGCATAAAAGCACCACCAGAGAAACAACTTCAAGCACACAGACCTTACCAGCTAACCTTAGTAAACATATCCATTTAGGAAGGAGAGTGTTCAATTTGGCAAATATTTGTTGACTGCTGTTTATCTACCCATCTGGTTTGAAAGAGAAAAGAAATAGTTCCTGAGAGATATACAATCTCTTATAATTTTTTTCTAAGTATAAAGTAAACAACAGTACAAGATAGTATTAGATGAAGTGCTGAAGTGAATATATATAATAAAGTACTAAATGGGTATATTGACATTCATTAGCTTAAAACTATGAAATAAGAAGTGGTGTTCCTTTTCACAACAAATACATGGATAGTAAATAATAAACACATTCTGTGCTTTGGTTTTGATCCTTCAGGGAGCAGGGCAGAAGGGACCCTTCGCTCGGCTAAAAGTGAAGAGTCTCTTACCTCTCTCCATGCAGTTGATGGTAAGAATGAAAGCACTAGTTAATCTGCAATGTATTTTTTTTTAATAGAGTAACATTGTACTTTTACGTGTCAGTCATATCCTTTGAGATAGTCTGTTGATGAACATTAAGCCTTAAGTATTCCTGATGTCTTTGTTCAGATGAGGTTGTTTCATGCTTGGTGTATTGCCAGTCTTTAATCTTTGCTCTTGGGTTTGCACATACACAGCTTAAGTATTTCATACTTGGTAATAATGCCAGAACAAGACTTGCTGTAAAGTAGTATGTTTATTAAATTTCACTGTTTGGAGACAGTGCTGTCCATTAAATGATTAAAACTCTACATAAAAGAAACAAATCAGTATCTAGTCTAATGAGAATCATAGATCTAGAAGTTGAAGATTTCAGAGGTCATATGGTCCAAAACCCTAGTTTGGGGGGTGTGGATGTGAGTGTGGGTGTGTGGTTTGTTTTTTGTTTTTTTTTAAATAGACGAGGAAAGTAGCCTCTCTGGAGGCAAAAGTTCAGAGCCTCTGTTGTACCAACATGAAATCAGTTACATAAGCTGAAGTTAATATCATTTATCCTTTCTGTGATAACGTTTTGAAGAAGTCTATACCACTAAAGGTCTGTGTTTGGGGAACTCAAAGTTTAAGAGCCTAAATAGTGATTCTGGACCTTTTCTTCTTCTCTTCTCTCCCTCTCCAAAATAAAATAACATTTTAGTGACTTCAATATAGAACACTCTTCCATAGCCCTAATATATGAGAAAAGAAAAAAAAAGTTACTTTTCATTGTGATTATATGCATTTGAAAGGAAGCACATGCAAGCAAATGTATCTTTGTACTTTTTTCTAATCAGAGTATTCACATTAACTCAACTCCTCACAATTTTCATGTGAGGTCAGTGATGAGTCTGCCTAAGGCATAAAGAAATAAAAGAACTTGCTCAAGGTCACAAATTGAGTCAGTGGTAAAATTAGGAATTGAACCCGGGAGTTTTATTGTCTTTGGTGTTGCCTTGTCCATTAAATGCTGCTTCCCCCCCGCCTTTTCCTCAGTCATCTCAAATCTGCAGTTGTTTGGTATTCCACATTTGCTTTTTGGATTATATTGCTTCAACACTAAGTGGTCTGTATGTATTCACTTGCTATTATCAGAAAGAGAAATGGGACATTTTCCACCCCCCGCCCTCTTTTAGCAAAACCACTCTGCTCGCTAGATCACTACTCCTGATGTTGTGTGTCTGTGACATTAATTATTTGATATTATTATTTGTTACCAGGTGACTCTAAACTCTTCCGACCCAGGAGACCCCGGTCTAGCAGTGATGCATTGTCTGCCTCTTTTAATGGAGAAATGCTTGGAAACCGCTGTAATTCCTATGATAATCTGCCCCATGATAATGAAAGTGAAGAAGAAGAAGGACTCTTACATATTCCAGCCCTCATGTCCCCTCATTTGGCTGAGGATGTTGACTTAAGCCCACCAGACATTGGAGTAGCCAGCTTGGATTTTGATCCCATGTCATTTCAGTGTAGTCCTCCCAAGTCTGAATCTGAGTGCTTGGAAAGTACTGCCTCCATCTTAGATTCACTGGGATTTCCCAAGGATAAGCCAAGCACCAGTAAAAAGGAAACAGAGGCAGGGAGTCAGTCTCAGACTCCAGGCAGTACTACCAGTTCTGAACCTGTCTCTCCACTTCAGGAGAAATTAAGTCCATTCTTTACCCTGGACCTAAGCCCAACTGAAGACAAAGCATCCAAGCCATCCTCATTCACAGAGAAGGTTGTTTATGCTTTTTCTCCAAAAATAGGACGGAAATTAAGTAAATCACCCTCTATCAACATATCAGAGCCAATCTCTGTGACCGTTCCCAGTCGGGTGTCAGAAGTCATTGGTACAGTTCCAAACTCAGCATCACAGAATGCATCTTCCCCAACCTGGAACAAGGGCTTTGGAGAAAGTGACATCATCAATAGGTCCCCCACTCAGGTAGTAACGATGAGAACAACTGAGACAGATTCCCGAGAAGTATGCCAGCCCGAAGTCCAGCCCTTGGACCAGACAGCTGCTGAGGCAGGACTGCCAGGGAAGGTGGAACAGGCCATCTCTAGCAGTCAGAGTAAGGCTGTACCTTCTGGACAGGCTCAGACAGGTACTGTTGGTTTTCCTCCATTCTTTCTTTAAGTTCAAAGGGATCTACAATACATCATGCCACCTGTGCCTTTAAGGAAATAAACTTCAGAGGGCATGCTTTTCAGGGTTGTGCCAATGACTTGAGCCCTAATAAAACTCCTGAGGGCCAACAGCCCCTTATCAAGGCCTCAGAGTCCCGTTTGTGTCTTTGGACAGTCAAAAATTCATGGATAATTTTTGCACAGCTTTTTAGCTCTTGATTCATGTGTAAGACTTTTTAGTAACAATTTGCCAGCACTTGAAGGGACTTTGGGGGCCTCATTGTTCTTTTTCAAGCCAGGGAAGGGTATCTGCCTTCCCTGCTTTCTGTCTCTGTAGAATCCAAGAGGAAATTGAGACCTCTGGACAATTTTAGTTTTCCTTCTGAACCAGCTGTACTTTCTACAGCTTTTGCATGTGGGAGAGAAGATCAAGGATGGCCATTGTGAGATGTGGACAGTGCCTTTTTTTTTTTTTGTTGGTCAGAGGGGGAGTATTTTGCTGTCCATGCAGGATAACAGACTACCTTTTCATTCTAATTTTTTTTTCCCAATTTCCTACTAGGAGCAGTTGCCCATGACTCCCCTCAGGATCTCGTTCCTGTCAGTTCAGTCTCTCTTATCCCACCACCACCGCCTCCAAAAAATGCCGCGCGCATGTTGGCCTTAGCATTGGCCGAGTCTGCACAGCAAGCTTCCACTCAGTCATTGAGGAGACCAGGAAATTCTCATACTGGTTGTCCAAATCATGGAGACACTACAGTGGCGATGCCTGAAGATAAACAGTCCAGTTCTTTTATTAGTTTTCCTTTAGATAAGACCTGTTTCCATGCTGGGATGCCATCAGAACAGCTTCACCTCCAAAACACTACATCTGGAAATTATGACCAGCTTAAACTGGGTATAGCAGTAACTGAGGACCACTGCAAGTCAATTCCAGTTGAATCTGGGGAACAGCCATACCACTCAGTTGATTCACCAGGGAATCAGGCCCATATGACCTGTTTTCCTGGCGACCCAGAAAAGGCTGAAATTCCCATGACAACATTAGTGGATTCAGACAAGACTGATAGTCATGTTATTTTGCATGAGAATCCAGTGAAGACCAGTATTCAAACTGTTTCCTTTGGGAACCAAGATGAACCCCATATCCACTTTTCCAGTGGAGACCAGCTTCTTTCCTCTCTGGATACATCTGTAGATAAATCACAGTTTTCCTCAGAACCTGAAGAAAAGGTAACCCCACCTTTCAGTTTGCCTATGGACAAAATCCACTCTCCTCCTGGGTCCCCTCTAGACAGAGCGAGTCCAGCTCCAACAACTTACATGACAGCTACTCCAGCACCAAGTGAAATAAACACCAGGGAAGCTAGCTGGGATATGATTAGCCAGCCTGTATCTTCTGCTGACCTTGTCACTACCCTTCAGCGCACCCACAGAGCTAATCGTCCTCCTCTATCCCATTCTTCTCAGAGACCAGCAGAGCAGCCACTAGTGGTGGGACAGGTACCAGCAGCAGCCAGTGTAGGACTAAGTGATTCCCACAAGGTAAGAAGGGGAGGGGAAGTGATGTGGAATGTACCTTTTCCAGAGGTATGTTTATTATTAACAGATGTGATGAGCCATTTTGCTCAGGTATAGTCGTACACGAGTCCTATGGAATGCTTCTGGAAATATTTTGTATTTCCAGTTGGAGTCTGTCTGGTAATTCTTGAGGTGACGTTTGAGCAGCTTGAGCTGGCACTGTTTGGTAGCTATCTTTCTGCTGATTTTGCTTTGGGAATAGAGCAAGACAGCATTATTACCAAATCCCTGTAGCTTGATTTTGTCTTCTCCCTTTCTTCCTAGGCTGTTCAGGTCCTTCACTGAATAGTAACTCAAAGGAAGCATGGTCTATTGAGTCAAACTGGACTTTAGGTATCAGGGTTTACAAGTTCTTTCTTTATGTCCACCACTGACTGACTGTGACTTTGGGCAAGTCATCTAACCTCTGTGCCTCAATTACAACTACCAAAAAAAAATAGGATAACAGATTTCTTGTATGTAAATAAGAAGTTTTATAATTCTTATCTACCAACCACTAGAGAAATGTAAAAAATCTCATGAAATTAACACTACTAGATACATTTTTAAAACTTTAACTAGCAGCTTTGATCACAGTCACGCACTTATTATCTTGAGAGAATGAATATTGTATAGGGGGTACTAAGGTTAAAATCTAGATTTTTTTATTCTAAGAGCTGTAGGTTTCTTACAGTCAGTTGGGAGAGGTCTTATGGTACAGTGGAAGAGGGATGGTGTCAGAGTTGGAGGACCTTGAATTTGGGTCCTACTTCAGGTACTTACTGCGTGTATGTCCATGGACAAGCCCCTTCACCTATCTGGCCTTCAGTTTCCTTTTCTGTAAAATGAGAGGATTGAACCAGATGATTGGACCAGATGACCTTTACAGTTCCTTCCTTGAATGGTTCTATTATCCTATGATCCTATGAATGTGAGCAAAAAGGACCTAGATTTCTGGTTCACAGAGAAAAGTACCATTTCTAGAATCTCCATGGCCACATGGTTAGATCTGCCTGCTGATGCCAAAGTGAAACAACTCTAAGTGTAGAGGAGAGCTCTGCCATTGACTTAGACTTCACCTTAGAAAAACTACATACTTTTTCTTTCCATGAACTGGTCCAGCAAAGTAGTCAGCCACCATTCACAAATTTCTCTTGATAGTTTGATCAAGTTCTTGGTGTTCAGGCCAACTAAGATAAATGTACTGTTAGTACATTTATTACATTAGTTGTACATTAGTTGTACAGTTAGTACATTTATTACATTAATGTACATTTAGCACATTAATTAGTAATAGGGTAAGAATATATATATTTATAGTGGGAAATCAGCAAGGCTAAAGGAATTCTAGAAGTAAGAAAGTAAGAGCAGCAGGAGAGCTTCCTTTTTCCCAACTGCAGAAAAACCTACTTTTGTTATCTAGGGCTACTAGCTAGGTAGTTCAGGTGAATATGCAATTGTGGTTGACTATATCTTGGCCCATAGAAAGGAGCAAAGAAAACACAGTAGATGACACTATATTTATTCTCTCACTAGGTTCATGGAGTAGCTTCAGCTCCAGAGAAGCCACCTGAGCCCAGAGGAGCAGAATTATCCTCCATCTTTACCTGCGATGGTAGCACAACCAGTCGATGTGCCTCCTATGCTTCTGCTGTCCCCCCAGGCCTTCCTGAAAAGGTCTGGGAGGGTACAAGGGCTCCCCTTCTCCACCTGCGTTCTGGGTCTGCTCCTGTGCACGCCTCCCAAGGCTTCACCCTGCCAGTCCCACCCATGAGGACTATGGATAGTAAGATTGCTACGGCCATACACTCCAGTAATACAGATGCAGCCAGTATTTCAAATTATCATTCCTTCATCATCGCTTCGTCAGCTTCCATGGATGATGCTTTGCCTCCCCCACCACCTATCCCTCAGCCTAAGCATGCCTCTCAGAAAACACCTTACCCTTCTTATATGAGGCCTGATATCACAACCGACTCTGTTGGGGCAGAAAATTGTTTGCATCTTGGCTTGGCTTCAGCCTGTCAGTACCGTCCGCAGAGTGTTCCCCCACACCATCATAAACCTGAGCAGCACCAAGTCTATGGTTCCAGATCAGAGACACCAAGTTGCATGGGTCCCCGCTATAATACATATATACCCCCTGGGAAAAATGCATCCGGGTACCATTCCAAGCCCTGTAGCCGGGTTGAGTATGTGTCTTCTGTGAGCCCATCCCTTCGGAGTGCTTGTTATCCTGAGGACATTCCTCCGTACCCCACTATTCGCAGAGTACAGTCCCTGCATGCCCCTCCATCTTCTATGATCCGCTCTGTCCCCATTTCTCGGACAGAAGTACCCCCAGATGATGAGCCATCCTATTGCCCAAGACCCCTTTACCAATATAAGCCATATCAGTCCTCACAGGCCCGTTCAGATTACCATGTAACTCAGCTACAGCCTTACTTCGAGAATGGCAGAGTTCATTACCGGTACAGTCCTTACTCCAGTTCTTCTGGTCCCTATTACAGTTCAGATGGGGCCTTCTATGATGTGGATGCTTATAGCACGGTACAGTTGAGGCCACTGCATCGCATGCCCAACCGCGATTTCAGTTTCTACAATCCTAGGCTCCAGGGAAAGAATTTGTACCGTTACCCTGGTTTGCCCCCTCGTGCCCAGGGTAACATTGTTGGCTACCTTTCTGGGAATGAACACAATCTTATCAATGTGACTTCAGCAGCTGATGTGAAACATATGTATACTTCATGGGACCTGGAAGACATGGAAAAATACCGCATGCAGTCCATCCGACGGGAAAGCCGAGCACGACAAAAGGTTAAAGGGCCAGTTATGTCCCAGTATGACAACATGGCCCCGGCTATGCAGGATGACATGGGTGGAATTTATGTCATCCATCTACGGAGCAAATCAGATCCTGGGAAAACTGGACTTCTTTCAGTGGCAGAAGGGAAGGAAGGGAGATATCCCACCAAGGCAGTTACCCCAGAGGGAGATGACCGCTTCTATAAAAAGCATCCTGAGCCAGAGTTAGACAGAGCCCATTACCATGGTGGCTATGGCAATGGGCAGTCAGAGAAGCCATCTCTCCCTCTGAAGCAAAGCAGCCTCAGGAACAGAAAAATTCATGACATGGGCTCCAATCCCTCTGAACATAGGGCACACCAGGAAGTAAGCCATAGGCAGTTATGTGAATCAAAAAATGGGCCTCCTTATCCCCCAGGAACTGGCCAGTTAGATTATGGGCCCAAAGGCATCCCAGACACTTCTGAACCAGTTAGCTATCATCCTGCTGGAGGGAAATATAGTACAGTGAGCCAGGAGACTTTGAGACTAAATCACAAAGAAGTGAGGCCCGCTGAAGACCTGGAGCGGCCACGTATGCGGCAGCCCCATGCCCCAGAGAAACTCTCAAGAGACTGCTATAAGGAAGATGAGCATCCCATTCAGTCAGCTCCCCCACCTAAGCCAGAGCGGAGTCACAGCCTGAAACTCCATCATACACAAAGTATGGAGAGGGACCCCAGTCTCCTGTACCAGTACCAAATGCATGGCAAACGCCAAAGCAACATGACTGTATTATCTCAGTATGAGAATTTGGATGATTATCACCCCATGCCTCAGCACCAGCGGGGAGGTTTTGGAGGAGGAGGAGGAGGAATGGGTACATTCATACCTCCTGGCTTTCCCCATCCACAAAATAGGACATATGCCACAGCTCTGGGTCAAGGGGCTTTTCTTTCCACAGAGTTGTCCTTGCAGAATCCTGAAACACAGATCCATGCAGAATGAGCCCTGGGAACAATAGAGTTAAAGCAGCCTCTGCTGGACAGTGGACTGTTTTATTTTTTCAATGACCAAAAAGATTAAAAAATAAACAAAAAATTAAAAAAAAACAACCAAAATATCCCAGTAAGAAAAGGAAAAAAATTATCATCTTCTCTCCCTTCTTATCACATCCCCCATCCACAGACTCTGTTGTGTGTCTCATTTAAAGGAAGCCTGAATGATTTTGGAGAGCTTCATTTTGAATATATATCTAAGTCATTTTGTCACAGACCAAATTCACCAGAGAAGGCAAATTTAGATTGAGATTGGGAGCTGCTGCTGCTTTTAAGTAAAATTAACATTGTCTTTTTTTTTTTCTTGGTACCTAGTTTACATAGTATGGAGAAATCTATGTTAATTGCTAGTAGGATTTTACTTCTGTTTTAGGTTCCTACTTAACTTACCCCCAGTAAATACTGAGTGACATTCCCAGAATATCAGATCATTCTCACCTAAATCACCCCTCTCTTCTAAGAGTCAGGTATACTAAATTAAAGTCAGAAAATTATTAATACTTTAATTAGGAAACACAGTTATTATTAAGTTAAAGCATTTAAAAAATGAAATTAATTGTCCCCTCTGCCTGAGAGCATTTAAAAAAATGTGTTATTGTTCTCAGCACCCCATGAAAGTTATTTTTTCACAGTTGCGTTAATAACCTTGCGTAAATGCAAAAAGGATTTTTTCATTAGAATAACAATGAAACTTCTAAATGAAAGAAGAAAAAAATCCTGTTACTGTGGCTTAGCATCAGAAACTGTCATTTCTTTTAATATGCTTATTACCACTGAGTTTTTATAAAAGATCCTGGTAAATTATAATTTCTAGTATAAACATTTCATATCACTGTCATGAAAAATACAGCAGCATGGTTTGGCTGGACAAACAGAACATGCGCTAATTTACAAACTTACTTTGTGATGATTTTTTGTTTCTAAACCAGAGTGCAGGTTACCTGGGAATTCTTAATGTAGGTACCAGTTATTTATGGGAACATGTAAGCTATTATAATAACTACGTAGTACACTGTACCATATCATCATACAGTGGAACCCCGTGCAGTTACCATGTTAAGTACTGAGTAAATACATGTTCTTCATTTACTGTGTATTTAGTGTGATCACTGTTTTATTGTAATTGTCATTCACACCAGCATTTCAGGTACATCACTTTGTAACTCTGTAGAAATGTTATGTATATTTAGTACCCGAGACTTTGTTTTTAATAACTCACATGAATTCCTTATTACAATAGGAATAAGACAGTTCTTTCCAGCCAAGTAGTTTTCTTTTTCTATATTCCCTCTCATCACAGCTATACCAGATTAGCAGTGCTGTTGTCTATTTCTAAAAGGCTATAGTTTGACATTTCATTATACAAGACTTACTAATGCTTGAGTTTTAGGCATTAACATCTTTAAAATGCTCAATTTGGTGAAGACAGTTGGAGAATCTCAATTTAGTGGATGAGAATTTCTCTGACTTTTTTTTTTAAACTCAGAGTGAGTTTCATTCAGTGAAAAAAGAAAAAGCAAACAAGTGTTCATGAGGCTGAAATCATGCTGCTATCATTGCTGTGAAACCACAAATACTAGGGCTCACATCATTTCATCTTTGATCCAGAACATCATGTCATTGCTATTTTCAGTGATTAAGTAACAAAATAATTATTAACCATCACGTCAAAAAAGAACCATCTTTTTTGGGGGGGGTCACCATCTCTAAAGTTTTTTTTGGTCTCCCAGCTTTGGTCATAGCTACTTCAACAGCAGTGGTCTAAATATTCATTTAGGGGTATGTCTACAGTAGAAATTGGGAAGCAACTGATATTTTTTTTTGCATGTAATTGGCCTACATATAGGTTTTATAAAATGCACAGATCCAATTAGTATAAAAAAATCATTACCTTTATAATAATCAGTAATCATTTATTAAGCACCAGCAATGTCCCAGGCACTGATAGGTACTGGGAATATACATTCAAAGAATGAAACAATCCCTATTCTCAAAGTATATTCTAACAATAAGAAATTTAATAGCATATTCCCACATGACTTGAAGTATTTGATGCATCTACCAGTGATCTAGATTTCAGTTTTCATCACTGAGAATTTCTTAACCCTGGCTTTCCCTTGACTATCATCAGATCAATAGAGCAGTCCAGTTGACCCATTGGCAATACCAAATTGATACCTCATCAATAACTTGATGATTGGAGGGAAGGGAAGAAAGGGATAGGGGGACTATTACAAAGTAGGTTTGCATGATTAGTAGTAATTGTATGCCTTTGGAGGAAATGATTGAAGAAAAGCCTGCTTAATCAATTTTTTTTACGTATGCACATTTTCCACCCCTGAATCATAAAACTAGGAAAGACAAAATGCTAAAGTTTTTCCTTGGAGAAATTCCTAACTAGAAGCCTACAGATAAATAGCTTGATATAGATAATGGCTCAAAGGAACATTAAACTTGTCAAAACTATGAACTCTGGACAGAGTCTACAGTTGTTTTCTCTAATGCAGACACAGCCTTAATTATGTATTCAGTTATTTGAAGAAGAACTTTGCATGGTCTCTTTCTTGCTAATACTATGGGGTAGAATTTGGATGGCAAATCACTGTGAGCCAAGTTACCTCAGCATAAGTCATCATGGGTGTGACTTCACAAACCTAGAAATGACATTGAAGTTAATATTTTTAATTTTGACATGGGGCATCATCATCGACAAAAATGGAGCTGCCTTATGCATTGAACCCATCATCTAGTTCTTTTATTCTTTTACTAACTAAATCTCTAGTATTTTATCCTTTTTGGCTAAATTTGTAGTTTACTCCATTTGATTTGGCTAACAAATTTTCTCAGTGTCTTACTGCAGAATTTTCATACAGTCTCAAAGGTGCCATTTTGTTTTTTGTTCCTTTCATCTGAGCCTAATTTCATGTTGTGTTTGGTTTCCATTTAAACATGCAAGTTCCCCAAGATTGTCCTGAGAATGTTCCATACATCTCTTCCCATATCCCTCCACATTTCCCATAAAGCAAGGTATTTTGTGAAAAAAAGTTAGGGTCAGGTTGGAAATACATAGATGACAGAAAATGTGCTTCTTTGAAGAGAGAACACTTGTATGACTTGAAAGAATGGGGAAGAAAGAGCAAGACATTTCATCTTTTGGGTGGCAATTTGGTATACAGTTTAGCCAACTTAAAATGCATTATTCCTCTTTGGTTACAGAAGGAACAAGTAGATCCACCCTTTGCATCCTTCTGTATCCCCACCCCTATTTATTGCTCATCCCATTAGTATGTTGGCAAAGCATTGTGTAAGGAAACACGTGTAAGGAAATAATAGTGAAAGTAAAAGAATGTTTGAAAGCTATTTCAGAAAGGATTAGAGGCATGTGATTTTCGGTCCCGAGTGCTACAGGAGTGTCAGGTATGATAAATTTTAACTGTGTGCATGAAAATGCCAGTGCGTAAGGTAGGCAAGGGGGAGGGAAAGAGTCCCCTTCTCCCCCAACACCTGGTTTGTATTTTCATGGTCAAAGAATGAGATAAGGTTGTTTTGAAGTTTATGTTATGCAGTAGAAAACTTGATTCTTCAACCATGACCCGCATGATAAGTGTCCTAGAAAGTTTTGAATCACACTTCTGAGTTCTTTTAATTTTAATTTATATAATGTCTTATTTTTATGTTTTAATATTTTTGTGAACTGGTGTAAAATATATATGCTGAGAAGCTCATGTATTTTTTTGTAAATAATTTTGTGGCTTATTCTTTGCCCCATATGTAAATATTTAGATTACCATTTTCTTCCAACCTTGTATAAAGCTGATGTGGGGTTCTGGTTTTGGTTTGGGGGGAGGGGTTTTTATACTGTAATGGGAAAATCGAGATTGAGATGTCTTGTGGTTTAAATCAAATGTCCCACTGAGGTCACTTCAAGTATACAAGTCAACAGAAATAATTCAGGTTAAAAACAGACATCTTTGTGTCTATGTGTGTTTATTTCTCTAAAAGATAAAAGATTGAAAGAGGGGGCTGGGAAGAACTGAAGTTAGGTAAAGGCTTTTGGGGCCTTCTTAAATTTACCATTCTAAATGGTGTAACTTTGGCCACTTAGCTTTACCCTAAGGGCCCAAATATTAGGGCAACTTCACAACTTCTGAGGCTTCTTGAGCCCTGCTGGTATTTTAGGGTAGACTTAGAATTCTACAAGTATCCCAAAGAGTCTTCCCCTGGCATGGTATGGCTTCTAGTCTTGGGATTTCCTAGTTGATTGAATGTTTGGGGACTCCATTCTCCAGATGCTTCAAAGAGGGCCTTAGAAATTCTGTGTGTTAGTCCAGGTTTCTGGAATGTACCCTAGAGGAACTCAACCTCGAGAGGGACATGATCTTGGAATGAGTCGTTTAGGGTTCCAACCCAAACATCCCAAAAACTACTTGGGATATGAGTGTCTATAAAAGGTGCTATGAGTTCAACCTCTTGTGGTAAAATGCTTTGTTCATTATGACTAATGAAACTTTACTGGGCCCCTGCCTTATTTCCCTCAAGCCTAAGCATGTCCTTATTTCAGCAAGTATTTTTACTTCCTACACCACTTAGCAGCATTGTTCCTCCCAACACTAAATTTCCTTAGAATAGACACTTCTTTCCTGTGGTGATTAAGCTGCATTGGAAGTTAACTCTCAATTCCAACACACCTTTCAGATTTTGCAAGTCTTATGCAAACATCCAGACTGCTATTGACCTGTCCCTCCACAATGAAGCTTTGAAAAAAAGGTAGTCTCAGGAAATTCTCTCTCAAATGAGAAGTTTTCTGGGAGGGTTACCTCTTTAAACACAAAATTTTCTTTTATTTTAGATATTTGGGCTGAAAATCTTTCTAAAACATGTATGCTTTTGGCTTCTTATACTAAAGCTACCAAATATTTTCTTGTGGTTCACAAGATTCCCTATAACAATTTTCTTACTAAGCTATAATACAGCAGCACAATGGCCTGTTCAAAGTACCTCTTATGTTACAGAGGTGGAGAAGTTTGCTGCTATACTGAATGGCCTCAGACAACTTACTCTATGGTTCACCCACCTATAAATTCTCAGTTTCTTTTGCTATTAACTGACATTTCTAATTAGTGTATCTGCCCCTAAGTGCTTTGTAATTTGCCATTTCTAATCTATAATCATTTCAAAAACCAGATAAACATTCTTGTTGTAAATGATAACACCTCAATCGCCCATCTTGCTCTATTTTAACAGCCATCCTATCAGGGGGATTGAATGTAAGAGATCATTGCATCTGCAGCTGGAAGAGATCTCAAAGGCCATTGTCCATTAAGAAAAACAACATACATATAGTGTTTACTATGTGCCAGGCACTACACTAAGTGTTTTACAAGTATCTCATTTGAGCCTCACAACAACCGTAGGAGGTATGTGCTAGTATAGATGGGGAAACTGAGGCAGAGGTCACAAAGCTAGAGTTGAGGCCAGATTTGAACTCTAATCTTTCTGACTCAGTGGCCTGCCCACCTAGCTGTCCCATTTTAAAGATGAAGAAACAGACCCAAAGAGGTTGTATGACTTGTCCAAGGTTCCACACGTAGAAGGTTTCAGGCAGGATCTGAACCCAAGTTCCCTAACCCAAGAGACAGCACTTTCCCCATTACACTGACATATTCTGCTCGAAGGCGTAACTAGAAGCAGTGAACTTCACGTAAAGAAAAACCACCTAGCCATTTGAGAGCTCTAGAATTTGGAGAGAGCTGCCTCATGAGGGTATGACTATGATTAACTGTCACTGGAAGTCTGAAGGCAAAGTTGTGGGGGAGGAGGGGCACTTGTCAAGTACAGTGGAGACTCATGTTTTATACCATATTGGACAGGATGACCTCCAAGTTCTTGATCTCCTTAGGCAAAAGTAATCGATTCCTCCTTGTGACTTGCGTAATTTCAATTTTTCTCATGTTTTATATTCTATTCTAATTTGTATTGTAATTGTGGATTAGTGTGCTATTAAATTATAAACAGGAACTTTCTTTCCATAACATCCCAAGGTCTGCCATAGCACTTTGCACAAAGTAGGTACTTAATAAATGAGTATTGAATTGAACTAATTTGTCTCGACAATCTATTGGCTTTAACTCTCAAAAGTGAACAATCTTCAGAGCTCTCTGAGGCACTAATCTGTTTAGTTCACCACGGATTCAGTGTCCTAAGAATAGTCCTTTCACTATGAGGAATAGGTTCAAGAGAGGTGACTGTAACATGGTGGTTAGAGAGCAGTAGCCTCAGCATCAGGAAAATCTGTGTTCAAGTCATACTTCTGATGCAAATTGACATTGTGACTCGGGGCAAGTCCTGTCATTTCTCAGTGTCCCCAGGCAGTTTTTAAGAGTGGCCAATCTCCAGTAGTACTGGAAGTTCCTTACCAAGAATTCCTGACAGATGAAGTGACAGGTCCAGTCAAAGAAGACATGAGGTGCAAGGAAAACCTGGGTTTTCACAGATGAAAGGGAAGGATTTTGCTCATGGGAGCATCTGTTAAGCACCTACCATGATCCAGGTATTGTGTTTTTCAAATATCTCATTTGATCCATGAAATGCTAAAGACCTGCCTGTGTACTAGATGAATTATCAATGGGATGTTCATGGAAGGATAGAAGCTGGAATTGAAAAAAGGGGAGAAGGTGTAGATCAATTATGATTTGTACCAACAGAGGTAGTTCCACATCAAGATCACAGATTCATTGAAGTATAGCTTTTTTTTAATCTATGTATATTCTTAAAGATCAATGGATATATTACAGAAAAGTTATAACTAAGTTACATTTTAATATGTGGATTTCTTAGAAGTATGGAATCATAAAAGTAGCAGCTTGGAAAGGATCTCAGAAGTCATATAGTCTGACCTCTTACCTAAAGAAAAATCATGTCAAGAGTACATAGCATATAGTAGGCACTTAATAAATGCTTGTTGATTGACTGAACTTGTTCAACACCCTCCAGCTTCCATTTGAAGGCCTACAATAATGGAAAATTCATTACCCCAAAGCAAACATTCTTTTTTCAGAAGTTTTCTAATTGTCTCGTTTGTCCTTGTGTTTACACAAGTCTACCTTCGTATAATATCCATCTAATAGTCCTAGTTTTTTTTTTCCCCCTCCAAGTAAAACAAGTCCAATGCCCCTTCCACATGCTACTTCCAATGCTGGAAGTCAACTATCACATCATCTCCAAGTCTTTTCACTGAGCCAAGTGGCTCAAAAGGATCCTTACATGAGATGATTTGGAGCCATGACTGCATCCTGATCATCCTCCTCTGAACACCCTCTAGGTTAACACACTCCAGGTGGTTAGTGTTCTTTCTAAAATATTCCAGCTAGGATTGGGCACAGTGCTCCTTAAGCATTCTGACCAGGGCATGGTAAAGGACTATCACCTGCCTCACGCTAACACTATATTCTTGATACAGATTAATATTGCACTATCTTTTTTGGTTTATGTGTCACATTGCTGACTCATATTGAGCTTAGAACACTAAACCCAATGGTGTGCTGGTAAATGTTTAATAAAAATAACATGCACATGATATACTTTTAAGTTTAATCTGTATTATTAAGGTGATGGAGAAAATGTTAAGTCTAAACAAAAAAAAAAATCAAGCCCTAATTGATGGCATTTCCAGATTTCGAAGGTGTAAATGGGCACAAACTCTCCAGAGCTGGTTGAGCACACCCCTGAAAATCCCAGGTCTTTTTCACATGAACTGATTTCTAGACACAGCTTTCCCAACTTCTACTTTTACAAGTTGATTCTTGATCCACTTTGAAGACTTGTCCATATGTGTTGTGTGCTGGTGGGGGTGGAGCATAGGGCACAGAGCCCCAGTTTGGTTGCTAGAGCATAGCAAAGAATATGATAACAATTCAGACTGAGATGGTGTCTCACCAGTGGCACAGCCATACAACAGAGATCTGCCTGGGAGCAGTGAGGGGCCAAGTGCAGGGGATCCAATAAGGAAGAAAGACTGTCACTTGGCACCTGCTGTAGATGTTCCTGTGCCGATTCCTCCCCCTTCTTCCCCATCACTGTTAATTCTTCGAATGTATTTACAATGAGGCCTAGGAATAAGTATATTTGATCCTGCTAATTTCAGCCAGCTCTCAGCTATATATGTATATACATGGGCAGCTAGGTGGCACAATGGATAGAATGTCATGCCTGGAGTCAGGAAGACTTATCTTCATGAGTTAAAATCTGGCCTCAGACACTACCTGTGTGACCTTGGGCAAGTTACTTAACTCTATTTGCCTCAATTTCCTCATCTAAAAAATGAGCTGGAGAAGGAAATGGCAAAACCACTCAAATATCTTTGCCAAGAAAACCCCAAATGGGGTCATGAAGAGTTGGACACAACTGAACAAACAATACATTTATATAAAATATATGTAAATATACATACAAACATACATTAATTTGCACATATTCCTTCAAGTATTGTGTCATCTGTAAATCTGATAGAAATGTCATCATACCTTCAACCCAGTCAGTAATAACATGCAATGAAGCAGGTTCAAGAACAAAGCCCTGTAATATTTTAGCTTGAGACATTATTAAATGAGTGTTCTTTCAGCTGAGTCAATCAATTTCAGCCCCATTTAATTTTACTGATAGTACACGTCTCTTCATGTGGCTCATATGGATTTTTTACATATTTAGTCAATACCTTTCTGAGACCCAGATTATACCTGTAGATTTGCCTGGTATACTGGTCAAAATCAAGAAGGGAAAAAGATAATTTAGGCTGGCCTGACTCACTCTTAATGAGGTTAGTTTAGAGCACTAGAGCCCTGGCTTGTAGTGAGCACCACTTCTCTAAGTGTGCGTAAACCGTTTCTTTACCAGTGTATTCTAGAATTTGCTAGGAATTGATGCCAAGTCCATTGGATTGTAAATTGAAAAAACCTACCTTGTTCCTC